AAGAGATCACATTTTGAGAAAACGAGGGGAGAGGGAGACAGGAAAATGGAGCTTATACCAAGGTGATTTCTGAACTACAGTTCCCAGAATGCTTCTTGTTATCCCCAAATGTGGCCTCACAAACTGCATCAGATTGCTCATTCCCATATCAGTAGGTGGTATTCAGTCCTCTGAGGCAGAGGAGGTACTGTACTGTAGATGGCTCAGGCTATAACTACGCTACAAGCATTACAGTGACACAGCTGCAACTAGCCTGCTATTTAACCCAGTCCACAACAATGTGCTTAGCAATGACTTCTGCACATCAGCTTTAATGCTAAAGGCCTACAGCTCCACAGCAACTATGCCTCAGGCCCCTGTGTGGCTGCAGAGACAGCATTCTCTTTGGGTACTTGGCCTGTATAAAGAACTTCATCAGAACAGGAAGGTATGGCTGAGCCGCAGCTGTTACCAGAAGGTTGCTGGCTAGATCAGTGGTTCCCAAACTGTGGATTGTGCCCCAAAGGCAGTTTGTACCATCAATAGATGAGGGCACAATGATTCTCAGTGTGCAGAGGATGCTGTTTTGCTCCATACAGTGTGACCTTGCATGTACAGTACATTGAGGTCATGATGCATGGAGGATGCCAATTTGCTCATTTCCTCCATCCTCTGCACACTGTGACCTTGCAAGCATTATATATATGAGGTAATGCTGCGTGGAGGCTGCCATTTTGTAGAGCAACATGTACTGTGACCTCACATGTACAGTGTGAGAGAGGTCATGCTCTGCAGAGGATGCAATTTTGCTCTACAAAATAGAATCCTCCATGTTATCTGGGGTCCCAGGAGGAAATAGCTAATGAAAATGGGATACCAGCAAAAAGTTTGGAAATCGTTGGCCTAGACCACGCTGCTTCTCCTCATCTTGCCTTACAAACTTGCCTACCTCACATCCCTATCTCACTGACTTTGCCCCTTGAATTTGATCATCCAGCTGGCAACCCCTGTTAGAACTCAAACCACTGTCTTGGACTGTCTCTAATACAAATTGACCTGATTACCTGACTACCTGTCTAGACTGCTCTGGACTGCCCTTAGCCTTCTTTGGCCATCAGGCTTCACAGTTTGGTCAGACTGCTTTGTTCTCCTAGGCTCATCCTACCCCAAAAGTGCATGGAGCCTAGCAACTTAGCATCATAGATGCCACCGGGTGCACTGAGACACTAGGACCAGATTACCTACCTGCAGGTGGAAAACGAAGTTTTACAGGCCATGGTGGACCAGCTTTGGACAGAAAACTGCACCTGTGGGAAAAGATCACTGCAAGCGGTTACATCTTCCTCCGCTCTACATCCCATGCTGCCTTCTGGACCCAAACTCACAATAACATTAGCCAAGTTCTATAACGGGACCTGAAGTAGATCTGGAAATTCTGCAACTAGTACAGGCTGCTTCCTGCTACAGCCCAACACCTGCCAGATGGACCAGGCAAAATTTGGACTGCTCATCAGCTTGTTAGTAAGCAAGGCTCAGGACTGGCTGTCCCCTCTGCTAGAGCAGCATTTCAGTAGTGATCATCTGGGACATCTTCCTGAGGGCCTTTGTGACAATTTTCCATGATCCTCACTGGGCTCTTACCATGAAGGTGGCCATATGGAAACTTAACTAGGCCTCAGGGTCAGTTGTAACATAGGCAGCCCACTTCTGACACCTAGCAGCAGACACAGTTTGGAATTATCTGAACCACCTACACTGATTCTATCTTGGTCTTGGCAAGGAAATAAAAGATGAACTTGCCTGGATGAAACCTCCCACAGGTTTAGGCATGTTTATTCACCATCTGACTTAATGAAAGGCAACTTGAGAGGAGACGGATTCCTGCTCTGTGTCTGGGCATCACCCACAACCTCTGTGAAAGCCCTCACCTGAGCCCTTGAGGGTGGATTCAGCATGGGCCTAACTGAACCTTTCTAAATGAGAACCCTGATGGTGAGAGAGCTTGTGCTTTTACCATAGTTGCACTGGCCACATGGTGTCTGTCTGTTCTGCCAAGCCTCTGCCCCATGTGGCTCCAGGAAATCACCGTGCTCAGCCTTGATAAGGTGAGTTGGTCCTGGACATCAGGGAAACCTCCTGCAGCCCCTTCCAGCAACCATTCTGGGTGGCTGGCTAGACACTTTGAAAATGTGCTTGCACCTAGAACTCCAGCTGCAACTTTTGGGATTCTGAAGTGGTACTTCCCCTCATGTCCAAGAAAACCCTGACTGATTCAGACAGGAAATAAATAACTTCATGTATGATACTGTGGCTCAAATGCGTGGCCTATCCATTATGAGGCCATCCCTGATTTAGCTGAGACAACTGAAAGATCACTTCTCTCCTCTGGCCCCAAACCAAACCATTTGGGACCCTCTTAAGTCCTAGGTCCAATATTATGATGGACTTCCTTGTGGAGTCACCAACACCTGAGGGATTCTATACCATATGGACGCTAAGGGGCTCATTGATGAAGACAGTAAACTTTGTCTCCTGAGCACATCTTCATGCATTGAGGATGCTATCCTGCCTTTAGGACCACATAATCTTAGTTGGGGGGGTTTCAGGACAGGTTGGTTATGTCTACACTCGCGGCTTCTTGCGTGAGTAATATGCAAATGAGGCTAAGCGTGGAATATCGCCGAGCCTCATTTGCATACCTAATGAGCCACCATTTTTTTCAGAAGAGGCTCTTGCGCAAGAAGGAGCATCTACACTGCCCCTTCTTGTGCAAGAAAAACCCTCTTGTGCAATGCCGTTACACCTATTACTTTTCAGGAAGAACAGCATTGCACAAGAGGGTAGTGTAGACGCTTCTTCTTGCGCAAGAGCCTCTTCTGAAAAAAATCGTGGCTCATTAGGTATGCAAATGAGGCCCAACAATATTCCACGCTTAGCCTCATTTGCATATTACTCGCACAAGAAACCGCGAGTGTAGACATAGCCGTTGTGTTTTGGTTTTGGAGGGAGGTATTGTATCTGCTAGCCGTGTATCTCCAAACTGATGGCCACCCAGAAAGAGTGAACTCCTAGCAGAACAATACATATGATGTTTCACAAACTACCGTCAATATAACTGCACCTCATTGATTCCACACGTGGAATTTGCAGACAACAATGCAGACCAGGCCTCTACCAAGATGAGCCTGTTTTTTGCCAATTATGGTTTCCACTCCTGTTTCCATCTTGCACTGCCCATAGCTCCCTCAGTTCCCGCAGTCTCAGGCCTGAATAATCAAATCCAAGGAACACAGGAAGAGTTGGAACAAACCCTAGGGACAGCCAAGGCACCATACAAACGTGATTACCAATATCTGTAGGGGGGCCTTACATTTGCAGTAGACAGAAGTTATGGCTAGACTGCAAGACACTTCAAGATGGGTCCCCTTTGAACTATGACATGTCCACCCCCACAGAGACTTTTGATGCCAGTTTTCAGGTGTTGCTTTATCTCCTCCCAAATAGCTGCAGTTCCCACCTATCTCCTGTAGGTGTCACCAAGCTAACCAGTTTGAGGCCTGTTTATGGCTCCCACCCATGCTAAATTGACAGAGGAGAGTGATTGAAATTCCTTGAAAAGTTTTTCCTGGCCTGGCAAATTATTTTGGATGGCACAGGGTTTGGGGCTGGGACTTGACACCCAGCACTGACTCTTACCTCACATATTCTTCAAAATTCTAATAAACCATCTTGTTAGTCTTTAAAGTGCTACATAGTCCTGTATTTTGTTTCATATTCTTCAAACTCCCTCTCTAGAACTTGGTGGCTTGGAGATCGTTCTGGGTATATAAACACATGCATTGCCAGTGAGTTACTGCCTGCAACGATCTTCCGCTGACAGTGCCACGAGGAGGGTATATTGAACAGAAACTATGTGCTGGAGGGTGAACCACTTCTTCTCACCTTACCATTTCTCTCTTAACCTTTGCTTCCTGGTCATTTTGGTGCTCTTTGCTCCACTTCCCCAAACTCCATGCAGTATAGGATCATAGACATGTGGAACTGGAAGGGACCTCAATCGGTATCGACCAAATATTATCTGGACTGGGGTGGGCAAATTGCCTCCACAGGATGTATGCGGCACACCAAGCAGATTTATCCAGACTGCGGATGCCCTGCTGCTCCCCTGTCTGCAGGCCAATCAGGGTCTAGGGATGGGGGAGCATGCGAACTCTCCTTCCCCACCAGTGGCACACAGTGCTTAGAGTCAATTGTCAGGGTTGGTTTTAAGCACCATGTACCCCTTGCAGGGCAGGGGCAGGGAGCAAGAGCCTTCACTTGTTTTCCCCAACCCCAGGCCATCCAAGGCCTGGAGGTGGGGAAAAGTGCATGAAGTCTCCTCCCACCCTGCCCTTGCCCTCCAAGGGGCATGCGATGCTTAGAGTCAACTGCTAGCTGCTACCCTGATTGACCTGGGAGCGGGCCAAGCGGCCAAAGTCTCCTCTCACTGCCAGGGGCCCGGGCACCCAGAAGGATCCACCAGCTGTTCTGAACAGCTGAAAGTTCTCTCTGGGGAGATTTTGGGCGCTCCTCTACCCGCAGGCCAATCAAGGTCTGTGGGCGGGGAAACACTGAAGTGTTCTGGCCCCGCCCCTTCCACCTGAAGCCCCATCAAAAATTTCTGAAGTAGCCCCCCATCTAAAATTATTGCCCACCCCAATCTAGACCGTACATGACAAGTCTAACCTGTTCTTAAAACCCTTCAATGCCAGAGATTTCACAGCCCTTCTAGGTAATTTGTTCCAGTGCTTAACCACCCTGACAGGTAGGAAGTTTTTCCTAATGTCCAACCTAAACCTCCCTTGCTGCAATTTAAGCCCTTTTTTTTCTTGTCCTGTCTCCAGTGGAAAAGGAGACCAATTTATCACCCTCCTCTTTAGAACAACCTTTCACATACTTGAAGACTGCTACCATGTCCCCTGCTTGTTCCTGTCTCCCAGGAAGTAACACACAAAGAGACATTCCAGGCTGAGCCAGAGGACTCAGGTGTGAAATAGGTTTTAATTGAGTTTATGGTTTTGTATTTTGTCTCTTTTGCTCAGTTGAGGGTGGACTGTCCAGGGCACAAAGCAGATGTGATGCGTGGGAACAGAGAGTGAAGGAGAGAGAGCTACAGAGAAGGAAACAGCAAGAAAGAGGTCAAGGAATGCAATCAAGTATATATATGTTTGTTTGTGTATGTGTATGTGTGTGTGTGTGTTTTCACAATGCACTGACCCACAACACTTCATGAAGCAAATGACCCAGAGAGTCATAATATGCACACACAAACCAAGTGACACATAGCAGTGAAAATCAGCGATAAAGTACAGACAAACACAGCTCAACAAAACATTCAGTGTCAACCACACAGATTCCACACTTCAGCACAGACACACATGGGGCAAAAGGACACTTGGAGATCAGCAGAGACACCCACACAGCGCACTGACACAAAGACACCCACACCCACACAGCAAGCAGCCACTGACAACACCCAGAATCAAACAGAACTATTACAAGCAGGCTCGCACTTAACCAGCACACTGCACAAAGGGAATTGCACACAACCTGTCACCACACAAACTCAGACACACAAAACAAAATATAAACACCAACGAATATGCTTGTGCAATCTAATACCCAAACACAGTGATGTGCAGAGACCTACACATTGACAGAAAATACACATGGCGCATAACCAGACACACAACACCTCCCTGCAGACAGCAGAGGGAAGCCTCATTCTTATCTTTTCTTGGGTCATTCCAACTAGGGAGACCTGCACTCAGGGATCTCAGGAGAGAGAAGACCAGCAGGTGGAGTGGAAAAAAGGAGAGCGGGGACAGGAGGCATGGTGGGGGAAAGGTGGCTTCAGAGTCTGTGCATTGGGAATTGGCGGGGGAGCTGCGGCGCGTGTCATGGCAGTGTTCAAAGGACACTTGGATTGCGAAAGTTGTGCCCAGCGAAGCGAGCTTCATCCCCAAGCTCTTCCTCAATCCTGCCAGAGAAAGAAAGAAAGAAAGAGAAGCAGTGCAAGCAGCTCGGGGCCCCAATGAAAGGGACTATACTGGGTATGGGACACGCATGGGCCGCAGCAAGTCCCAGAGGAGCGGGTCAGAGCAGGAAAACAGGCCACCGTAAGTGCGGTGATGGAGGCATCATGACTTGGAACAGGGAGAGATGATGCAGCTCTGGGGTGAGCGCACTCAGCTTTGAGACCCCTCCTCAGGCCTGCCGATGGGGGGGGGTGCAGGAGAAAAGGGCTGTTGTCCTGGGGCCCAGCGATTCAAAGGGGCACAGGGCTCCTAGCTGCTGCTGCTGTTACTGCTGTTACTGAGGGCTGGGGGTCCCAGCGCTGCACTCTGGGTGGTGCTGAGGGCTGACTGTCCCCGGCCCCATCACTTCCACCCAAGGCCCCACCCATTCTGGGAGCACAGACCCGCTCCACCCACACACACACCTAGCCCAGGGGCCCGTGGAGGCTGTTGGCTTCCCTGCCCCTCCTGGTCCAAGGGAGACATGCCCATGCTGGCATCCTCTATTCTGCAGTTGCCCTCTCTCCCTCCACTGTCAATTCCTCCCTCCCCAGTGAGTCTATCCCAGGACCAGGCAAGATCCATCCTGTCAAGCCTTTTAATCTAGCCTGCAGCCCACCAGGATGGCACAGAGCAGCCCCAGACTGCTCAAAGCGGCTGACGGCTCAATGTGACTCTGCACGGTGCACTGGAGAGGGAAGGAGGCTTTGTGGGCTACCTTCACTCCCAGCACAATCTCTCAGCTCCTATTGGCCAAAAAACAGCCAATGGGAGTGGAGAGATTGTGCTGGGGGTGAGGCAGCGCATGAAGCCTCCCCTCCTGCACAGCCAGCCACTTTGAGCAGTCTATGGCTGCTGCAGACAGGGACCCGGCCTGAGGGTTCTGCTGAGCTGGGAGCCACCTAGGTAAGCACCTCCTGGCCAGAGCCTGCCTCTGGCATTCTCCTCCCCTCCTCCCCCACACACCCTAACTCCCTGCCTCAGGCCACCACCCAAATCCTCTGCACCCATCCTGCCCCTAATCAAAACTCCCTCTCATACCCTGCACCCCCTCCTACACCTCTCCCTAGGCCAGAATCCTTTACTGCACCTATCCCCTTCCCCGACCCTGCACCCCAATCCCCCGATCCAGGTCACAACCCCCTCCTCCACCCAAGCTCCCTCTCAGACTCCACCCCCTCTCCTGTACCCTAGTCTCTTACCCTGAGCTCCCTTCTGCACTCAGCCTCCATCCCAGACCCCACACTCCTTCACAGAAAAGTGCAGCCCTTCACCACTTACCAAAATCTTGGAGTGGCCCCCCACCAAAAATTATTGCCCACCCCTGGTCTATGCCCTAGTGGAGCCAGAGGGACATTCCCACCTTTGCATTCTCAGCCTGGACCACTCACCTCATAAGCTGGTTGTATTTGGCCAGTCGCTCAGACCTGCAGGGAGCTCCTGTCTTTATCTGTAAAATATTCACCACAGAGAACAGGGTTAGACCCATTAGGAAGCCCTGAATTGGGTCTGAGAGGCAGGAGGAGGATTTGTGCTCTATGTCCATTCAGTGCCAGCTCTCCCATTTAAGTTTAGTTTGGCACATACCTGCCCAGTACACAGCCCCACAACCAGGTCAGCAATGAAGGTGTCTTCAGTCTCCCCAGATCGATGGCTCACCATCACTCCCCAGCCATTCTCCTGGGCCAACTTACAGCTGCAGGGAGAAATGAAGCAAATGGATCATCTTTCTTGTGCTTCAGCCTGCTGGGGATAGGACCCTGACACCTCCTGCTCCCCACGTATGTCTATGTGGACTTTTACCCCCAGTGATGAGGACCAAGGCCTTATATGTCCATAAAAACTGCACCTATTTACCTAGTCAGAGTAGAAAGCACTGCTGTTAGATTGGTGCTGGGAGCAGGTGACTGGTCAGACTTACGCTTGGATGGCTTCAGTAACTGATCCAATCTGGTTGACTTTGAGCAAGAGGCAGTTGCAGGCTTTTTCTTCAACCGCTCTCTCAATGCGCTTGGGGTTTGTCACCGTCAAGTCATCCCCCACAATCTGAATCCCCACGTTGGCTGTGAACTTGGACCAGGCTTCCCAGTCATCCTGATCAAAGGGGTCCTCAATGGAGACCACTGCAGAGAGAGGGGAAGAGGGTGAGTTGAAGCTGCCCCACTTCCCAGCCCACAAGCATGGTGGGGTTGACATCCCAGGACACTGAGCATTCAGAGTCACACAGCACAGCAGCTCACCAGGGTAATCACGAACAAAGCTTTGGTAGAGGTCGCCCAGCTCATCTGCAGAGATGTAGCGGCTGGGGTCATTGGGGGATTTGAAGTCCAAATCATATTTGCCATCCCGGTAGAACTCAGATGCTGCCACGTCCATGCCAATGACGATCTTCTCAGTGTAGCCAGCTTTGTCGATAGCTTCCTTGAGGAGTTCCAGAGCTGGGACAGGAGAAGAGTCAGAATGAGATTCAGCCGCTGCTAGTCCACTTTGGAAAAATTCCTCTACAACCCCAGATCTTTGACTGCCTGAGGGTCAGGAGCAGCTGAGAGAGGCCAGGAAGGAACGGTCAATGGACCCTCTCTTGTGAGATCCTGCCTGAGGGAGAAGGGGACAGCAAACTATTCAGGGACTTGCAGAGGGACAGAGTACAGGAGGAGGATATATAAATCAGGGCTGAATAGCCCAAGGCCCCATGATCCAGAGCAGAGAGGGAATAAGTCCTTTCTGCTTGGCTCTGGAGAGACCCCACCTGGCTCGCTGAGCTCCTCAGTCCCAGAAAGAGTGACATGCTTTGGAAGCTGCAGGGGTGAAGTGCTGGGGACAGATTCAAAGAGCAAACCCCAGCGGAGTGATGCCACGACCGAGGGGGAAGACATGAAAATGTGTGAGGGATACAAGCTCCAGAGGAAAGGTGTTGGGAATGGGGAGGACAAAGTCCAGGGAAAGGAGCTCAGGTGCTATCCTCCAAGGGGGAAAGATCTGTGAGCTTGGGAGCTCCTGCACCAAGGAACAGGCCGGGAGTCCCCATAAAACTAGGACTCAGGTGTTCTGAGCCATGGATGGATTGGGTACTGTGAGCCTGCTCTGTGCCCCTTTTCTCGTGGTCTTTCACCTTCGCTGTTCTCCAGGATGTTGGGGGCAAAGCCACCTTCATCGCCTACATTGGTGGCATCCTTCCCATACTTCTCCTTGATTACGCTCTTCAGGTTATGATAGACCTCGGCCCCAATGCGCATGGCATCCCGGAAGCTCTCAGCCCCCACAGGAAGGATCATAAACTCCTGCATGGCCAGCTTGTTCCCTGCATGGGAGCCTCCGTTGATCACATTGAAGGCCTGAAAAAGTCCGGAAAAAAAGCAGGGACAAAAATGTTAATATCCCAGGCCTGTAACAAAAGGAGGAGTCCACATGTTCCCACATTCTTGAGTGCCCCCCAATGCCCTAGATCTGAATGCAAGTGGATTTTGAATCCAGGGATGGAAGGTTCTTACGGGCACAGGCAGTATGAGGTCAGTGTTTCCAGCCAGGTCAGCAATGTGTCGATACAGGGGCACATCTTTCTCTGCAGCACCTGCCTTGCACACAGCCAGAGAGACTCCCAGGATGGCATTGGCTCCAAATTGAGCTGTGGACATTCCAGAATCAGTGAGGAATGAATCCTCCAAACATTCTCAGTCCTACCCTGCAGCCCCTGCTAATCCAGCCCTGGGCTCCCCACACAGCCCTGCCAGTGCCCCCCAGTCCTGCCCTGCAGCCCCCTGCTATTCCAGCCCTGGGCTCCCCTCACAGCCCTGCCAGTGCCCCTCAGCCCTGCCCTGCAGCCCCTGCTATTCCAGCCCTGCCTGCAGTATCTTCCCACACTCCTTTATGATTCTATTTCCCATGCCAAAGGAGAGTGGAATTACATTTGTTTTCTGTTCCATCCATCTCTAGCATGAGGTTGTCTATTTTCTCTTGATCCACAACAGAGAGGCCCTGCAAGAAGAAAAATCTGCTAAGAAGAGAAGGTGTGGGAAGAAGCACAGCTGAGCAAGGACTGTGTGTGTATTTGTATCACTCTTGCTGTGTTGCATTCAGCACAGGAATTCAGTACACATCCCATCTCTGCCCTTGTTGTCAGGAACTGGCTCTGTGGCTGGGCCTGTTAGTTTTGCTGGGTACAAAAATCAGGTATGTCCATGGAAATCCTGAGCCCATAAAACTAGCCAGCTGGCAGTGTGCATAGAGGGCCCTTATAGATTTCCCAGGCTAGTAATAAAGGGATAATACTGGCAAATCTCTATGGTGACTGCCCTTTGGCCATCATGCACTGTCACTGCCTCATGTGGGCACAGAAAGTTCCATATTTTTTACAAACAAAATCCATGGGCCATAGCACTGTGCCCAGGCGATGAGTTATATGGGCCTGTGGTGCCCTGGCACCAGGGATATTCCTGGCCCTGGGCTGCGCTCCATCAACATTCACTGCCTGCCTGTGCTCCTGGCCTCTGCGTCCCCCGACTCCCCTGCCATCCCATGCATTCCCCCCACGCATCCTTCGGCCCTGCCTGCCATCCCCAGACAATCTCCAATGCCCCAGGGGGCCCTGCTGCCACCACCGGCAGCAGCGCTGCAGGGTTAGAGCAGCCTCAGGCCACTCATTTTCCCCAGTTGCCAGCATGTGCATCCCTGCATGGAAGCTGTGTGGGTGGGGCAGGGCCTCCGGGCCATGCACTGCTCCAGCAGCTGGAGCAGCGCAAGAGACCCCATCCCTCTCCCCAAGTGGGACACATGCTGGCAGCCACGGGACTGAGTGTCTGGAAGATACTCTAACCCTGCAGCACTGCTGGGGGTGGCCACAGGATGCCCCAGGCTGTTTTAATCACTGGGTGCTGACAGGCAGGGCCAGGGCAGCAGTAGGGAAGTGTGCAGGGAAGTAGACAGGGCCAGGGGAATGCGCAGGGGCAGCAGCACCCAAAGCCCTCGGCTCCCAGCAGCCAGAGGGGTGTGCCCCAGGTACATGTGGCATGCCCCATCCTCCCACCCCCATCCGAGCCCTCAACTCCCTCCCCTCCAGCCCTCAAACTCCCTCACAGAGCCTACACCCCAGACCTTCACCTGCTCCCAAGTCCCCCCAGAGCTCCACCTGCACCTATCCTTTCTCCCAGAGCCTGCCCCCCAACTCCCTGCTCCAGTCCAGAGCCTGTCCCCAAACTCCCTTTCAGAGCCTTAGGCGGGGGCTCTCTGGGCATTCTGGGCACCTCCACAATTTTTGCAAACTTGCCACCCTACCATTGTGCATGCCAGATGGTGAGGGGAGAGCCACTGAGAATGGGAACGGAGGCTTTGGATGAGGGATGTGCAGTGTGCCAAGAGGCACCTGTGTGAAAGAGGCAGGGAGCCTGCCAATGAGGGGCAGCTGGAGAGATGCCAGATCAGATGGTCTCTGCAGTGTGGGGGAAGGCTGTATGGAGGAACACCCCTCCCTCCCAGTGGAGCAGAGCTCTGCGCTGACACACAGACACTTACACCTGTGAGGGGTATGCCTCGAGCCAAAGGGAATGGCAAAGAGCCAATCCCCTGGGGAAATACAGAGAGAGGCAGAAAGTGATTAGAAAACAAGAGAGTGAAATAAATGCCCCAGAAAGGAGAATCAAGGGAAATCCTTACAGAGCCCAGGAGAGCGGGGGCGATAGTGCTGTTGATATGATCCACGGCCTGCAGGACCCCTAGAAGGGAAGAGACAGAGATAGCGAGTGAGACCAAGGGTATGTCTACACTACAAAGTTAGTTCGAACTACCTTAGTTCGAATTAGTTAATTCGAACTAAGTTAGTTCGAACTAACGCATCTAGAACTAAAAACTAGTTCGAACTAGCGTTTTGCTAGTTCGAACTAGTAAGTCCACATTGAGTGGACTCTGAACAGGGCTTAAGGATGGCCGGAAGCAGTGCCGGCAGGGCATAAAAGGAGGACTTAGAGCATGGAGATGCTGTCTCAGGCTAGCCGAGGGCTGCGCTTAAAGGGTCCCGACCCCCACCCCGGACACACAGTTCTAAGGGGTGCCCCGCTTGCAAAGAAGTTCTGGCTTGGAGTGCCCTGAGTGCCCACACTGGGCACATCACACCACTCGGCCATCAGCCCGGCTGCACTTGCCGCAGGCTGCCATCTGGGGAGAGGGAGTAATTGGGGGGCTGCAGGAGAGCTTCCACCCCCAGAAGCCCGCAGAGCCAGCCCAGTCCTCCCCATCGGGGGCTCGTACCCCATTCCTCCCTCACCTCCTGCCACTTACCCTTCCCTAGCCCCCCTTCTTATTGATGTACAAAATAAAGATAACGTTTCTTCCAACATTGACTCTGTCTTTATTGAAAAAAACTGGGGGAGACTGGGAAAAGGAGGTGGGAGAGGGGAAGAGAAAGGCTGGGAGAGGGGAGGGCAACTAACATGATCAGGGGTTGGGAACAGGTCCCAGATGAAGAAAGGCTACAGAGACTGGGACTGTTCAGCTTAGAAAAGAGGAGACGGAGGGGGGACAGGATAGAGGTCTCTAAAAGCAGGGGTTGGGTGGAGAGGGTGCATTCAGAAAAGTTCTTCATGAGTTCCCATAAAGAAGGACTAGAGGACACCAAAGGAAAGGAATGGGTAGCAGGCTTGAAACTAGTAAGAGAAAGTTGTTCTTCTTCCCAAAGCAAATAGTTAACCTGTGGAACTCCTTGCTGCAGGAGGCTGTGAAGGCTACAACTAGAACAGAGTTTAAAGGGAGGCTTGCACCTGGCACGGGCACCGTAGCCAGCCCGTGCCCCTTTAAGGGGTCCGGGGCCGGGAGGGGGGCATAGAGTTTCCCTGGTGTTGGCCAGAGTGGCCACCAGGGAAACCTGGGAAGCCTTAGCCTCCCACTAGTTCGAACTAAAGGGCTACACAGCCCTTAGTTCGAACTAGCTAGTTCGAACTAGGCGTTAGTCCTCGTAAAATGAGGTTTACCTAGTTCGAACTAAGCGCTCCGCTAGTTCGATTCAAATTCGAACTAGCGGAGCGCTAGTGTAGCACCTATTAAAGTTAGTTCGAACTAACGTCCGTTAGTTCGAACTAACTTTGTAGTGTAGACATACCCCAAGAGAGAGACAGAGACAGAGGGAAATTCCTGGTCTGATTCCCCGCTTAGTCACACCAGCGCTAGAGTCGTGTGACCGCACCGAGGCCAGTGGACTTAGAACAGCGTAAAACTGGGGGTGCTGCATGGAGGAACGCACACACGCATGCATGCACACACACAGCCCTGGGCTCGTCAGGTGCCTGAGACCTCCCAGTGATGGGGAGCAGAAGCTGAACTGTCCCCACCTTTCCCAAGGAATCGGAACTTGTCATTATCTCGCAGCTCCAGAGCTTCATAGATGCCAGTAGAAGCGCCGCTGGGAACTGCAGCACGGAACATGCCTGAGAGCAAACACAGGCATAACGAGAAGAAATCAGCCATTTCATTTCAGTTTCCAGTATCTCACTGTGGTGCTCATGTGCCCACATAGCCCTGGGAAGCTTCTCAGCCCCCACCCATCTCTTGCTTTGCCTCCCCTCAAGGAAACGTACAGCCCACAGGCTGTTTGGGTCGTGGCATCACCCCACAATAGAGCTGGGCAAATTGCATCACAGGAGAAGGAAAGACTTGCCCCAGGTCACACAAAGAGACAGGTGCAGAGCCACGTAGAGCACCAACGTGTCCTGACTCCCAGGACTGCACCTGCTAGATCCACCTCCATCTCTGAGCTAAAGCCAGACTCCAGGAGGCCTGCTCTTCTGTCTACCCGCTCTAAGGAGTCTGAGTTTGAAGGTGGCTGATGAGTAATTTCTCCTTTTTGGATATTTCATTGAATCAAGAAGTGAATGAAACATTCAGCTCTAGAAGCTGACAGAAACCTGATACAAACACAAGTACACATTGCGCCTAGACTGGCAAGACTAGGCAGCTTTTGTGCAAAAACTTGCCAGCTGTCTATACTGGCCGCTTGAATTTGCGCTAGAGCACTGACTTTGTAATGTACAAAATCAGGGCTTCTTGTGCAAATACTTTCCCACTCCCGCTCGGGAAAAAGCCCTCTTGCGCAAGAATACTTGCACAAGAGGGCCAGTGTAGACAGGGAAGAATTGTTTTGAGCAAAAAAGCCCTGATGGCTAAAATGGCGATCGGGGCTTTCTTGTGCAAAATCGCATCTAGACTGGCCACGGATGCTTTTGCGCAAAAGCACTTTTTGCGCAAAAGCATCCGTGCCAATCTAGATGTGCTTTTGCGGAATGACTTTTAATGGAAAATCTTTCCGTTAAAAGTATTTCCACAAAATCATGCCAGTCTAGACGCAGCCATGGAGATGTGCACAGAGAGAACACACAACACGTGTGCATACACATCTAAGTCATAAATCTACATACGTGCCTGGGACATGACCATGTATGTGCCTGAAGATGCAGCTAGACTCTAGCTATCTCCCAGAGAAGCACAGCTCTGCAACACTACAGCCATGGAGGCCCACATTAACAGGGCCAAATCACTGTTACTGCATACACAGTGCACACTCTATCACATACACCCAGAAATCACCAGTTTCATTTCAGTTTCCAGTGTCTCACTATGCTGCTCATGTGCCCACACAACACTGCTTGCACTATAATGCTACTGGAGGTTAATGACTATTCATACTACAGAGCACGCTCACATTTACTAGTGAATTCATACACACCCCTGCATTGGGATCCAGCCACAAACTCTGACCCCTTAGCTCCAAATGCATGGGCCCAGGGCTGGCTTTAGGCTAATTCACTCGATTCCTCCAAATGGGGCCCCGCACCTAAAAGGGCCCCGTGCCCTAAAGCCAGAGGGCCCTGCACCCTAAACCTGGAAGTGTGCTGGTGTGTGGGGGAAGAAGGGGGGTGTCTGCTCCAAAGGAAGATCGTGGCGGCTTCTGTGTGCCATGGGAGGGGGAGTCGGCCCCTGGGTTTGGCTGGAAGGCGGGACTCTGTCCTGTAAGCTGGGGATTTAAAGGGACTGTGACTTGTTTCTTTGTGTGCAGGCAGGTTTGCTTGGGTTTTTTTGGGGGTTTTTTGCTCAACCAAAATTTGTGTGTGGTTTTTTTTGGTCAACAAAAAAGTTGCGGCTGCTGGGGCCCCGTCGAATTGGGCCCCGCACTTCCTAAAGCTGGCCCTGCATGGGCCCCTCCTGCCAGTGCTAAGAGAAGCACTCTTCCAGAGGACATGAGCTATATGGGAGCGGGTGTCTTCTCCTCTCTGGGAGCTACAGTGACAGACGCACACACACTCACTGTGCACACACACCAGCACAAACTCACGCACACATTCGTTCATTTGTTACGGTCACAGCTTTGGAAGCCAATTTCTGTTAGCTGTAAATTCACCAGCAGGAGGGAAGTTGTCAGAGTCTCGGGTGTTGCAAAGTGCAGGTGCTTTGCCACTGAAGAGACAAAGCTTGCTCAGATTGTGGGTGCTATTTCCTACCTGGTTGCCACAGGACTGAACTAATTTCACTGTCTCCTAGGGCTGGCCAACCCAGATGCACCTTCTCCCCTGCGTTTTCACACATACCTTTTTCTGTATACAAATCCACCTCTACGGTGGGATTCCCGCGGGAATCCAGGATCTCCCGGGCACGGATCTTTTCAATGGACATGCTGATCCTGGTTTTTCCTGCCGAAGAGTTGGAGATGGGAGAGGAGAAGCAAGGAAAGATGTTCAGTTCTGAGTTTCTCCAGCACAGAGGCCTCACATCCTCTCTGAGATCCAGCCCTTCCTTCCCAGAGAGACGGCGGCAGGCAGGAGAGGACTCAGGCTCTGTCTACCCTTGGGGCTGGGCTGTGACTCCTAGTGTGCAGAGAATGACTTGCGCTAGTGCACTAAGACCAGTGGTGTCTCCAGGGCAGCGGTGAGCAGCAGCACTGGCTAGTCGCCCCGAGGACGGGCTTCCTCTCTGGTTGGCTAGTCTGAGCCATCACTTGTCCCTGCTCATGCTACCATGGCCAGGCTGCTCTGTTTATCCCACTAGCCGCATGGAGGACCTGGCATGTGTGTGTCTCTCCTCACTGGGAACCCACCCCAAGGGCAGATACAACATTGGAGACAAGCCCAAGAAACACTCCTGGGCCTCAGGGAACAGGCGGGCTAAGCCCACTTGGCTCCAGGAAGCCAGGGCAAGGGAAGGCATGTGAGGTGCTGGCCAATGCCCATGGGTGTGAGTCATGAGGGGAGGGGCATGTTTAGGGCAGTGCTGTCCAGTCTTTTCATCCTGAAAGCTGAACACATTCTTGCAAAACAGGAAGGGGACCACAACCAATCTCTGCCACAAGGGAGCTGCCCTGCTCCAGTGGGCACAGAGTTGGCATCGCTGGTGCTGCCACAGGTGCCCAGGCACCAGGGGAAGGCATGTCAGGATAAGGGGAGGCATGGCTGAAGCATGCCGGAGCTCTCCCCGGCTGGCATATGGTCCCTTGGGAGCTGGCCAGCTGGTGCAAGATGGGTGAAGAAGAACCAAGACCTTGTCATTGTTGGTTGTCTCAGCTTCTCCCTTTCCCCGCTCCTGGGCTGTGAGGGAGGGAGCCGCCTATGACTCTCCTGCTCTCCCTGGCGCTCCTACACCCTGGCAGTGGCTCCCCCGGAGCTCCTGCCCTCCCCCCACCCCAAGGCAGAGCAGACAAGCTGCCAGGGAAGGCCCAAGGGCGGCAGTCTGCTCCCTGCTCAGAGCACAGCTGCTAATGGGACTGCAGAGGAAGCAGTGGGAGGCAGCTGCCTGGATTCCTGGCTTGCCATGATGGGGTTGGATCAATCACTGGGGGCAGCTCAGGAAAAGCATCTTTTCCATTCAAACTTCCATACACTGCTCTGTCCCGTGAGGGTCACATTTCAAAGCTTCCAGGTCCACAGGCTGGCACCTTTGCTGGGAGGAGGGGGGCTGAGAATGAGATATGGCAAAGGAACACAGGAATCAGGGCCCCAATGTTCAGGGGTCTGTGAGCCCAGGAAGCCATCTCCCCAGAAGGGTCTGGGGCACCAGCATTTGGGAAAGTGGGCACTAAGGAGTCCCAGGAACGGACAAAGGGAAACACCCTCATCCTGCAGGCCAGGGGAAGTGGGTGGGTGGGGAGGGGGGAACATGGGACTGATCCCAGGGTTTAAATCTTTTGCTCATAAGTAAATCATGCTAATGTCTGGGGTGGGAGGAGGAGGATCAAGGTCTCTTGTACTGAGGGCTGGGAGGGTTAATGATTCAGTCAGAGCTAACCAAGTTGGGGCTCGGGGAGCAAAGCATCTTGAGAGGCCCCTCACCAGCCGACCACGCACTTTGGGTGTCCAGAGCAGTCCTGCCCCTGGGCCAGCTCCCCTTCCCAACAATCTGAGGCCCATCTGTCTTCTCACCCAACTGCCAGACAAGGCGCCTCGCAATGTCTCCAGAGAGTGGGACTCCATGGCAGGGGATGGGAGAATTCAATGCAACCCCCCTCCTGCCCCGCCACACCTCAGCCCCTTGGACCCCCCAGCTCCTGTCACTCCCCTTCTCTGCCCCTCCTTATTGCCTCCCCTCTCCTTCCATTCTCAACCCTCCCCTCCTCTCTTGCTCCCACAGGGTCAGTCCCCCGGCCTCAGGGGGAGCCAGTTCTGAGTGGAGATATTAAACCCAGCCCAGAGCTGCACCCAGGGAAAGCTGAGCTGGGGAGCCCTGTAGAACCTTTACCCAGGGACAAACACTCAGTCCAAGGCACAGTGGGGTGGGGGCTGTGCTGAGATTTACACCTCACCGGGCCATGAGCAGCGTGGGTGGTGGGGAAAGCAGAGGGGAGGCCAGGAGCAGCACATACTGTGGGCAGGAGCTGGTCTCAAGCCCATTCTCCTGTGTCTCAGATCACAGTGTTGTCACAGGAGATCTTTCCAATGCTGGGAAATCTCAGCCCATGAAGCTGAGTGCCTGTAGAACCCACGCAGGGCTGTTCTCCCCCTTGCAACTCCCTTCACAGCCACCATCTGGGCCGGCATCCCCATCAGCTGCTCTGCAAGCAGAATTTCTCACACAGTCTGTCGGACCCACCGGCACTTCCCCCACGTGATGCCCTGCAGCTGTGTGCTTCCCTCACTGCAGTGCCAGGGAAGGAGCAAGGAGAGACAGCCCGAGTGCGGGCTCCCCACAGTGGGGCTCTGAGGATGCTGTCTGAACTGGGTTGAACGCTTCCTAGCCTCAGGAGCAGCATTGCCAGCGCCATTGCAGACTGTCCATGTTCCTCTTTTGCCCCAGCCTGCCAAAGGCCATGGAGTAGCGGGCTCAAGGACAGCAAAGGAACAGGCACCCTGCAACCTCCCCTCTCCCCCATCACTCTCTCTGCTTCTCTTTCCTCCCTTTCTCTGTCCCTCCCGGCTCACTTCCTCTCCTCCCAGCTCCCAGATGGAGCAAGAGCTGCACTGGAGCTCCCTGGCTAGGGCAGTGCTGTCCTGAAAGGAGGTCAGGGACGGATGAGCAGGGATAAGGGATTGGAACCGAGCCATGGCTTTGAACTCACAGGCAGTGGAAGAAGGGAGCAGCCATCAGGCTGAAGGGTGCACAAGCCCTCGGGAGGGCAGGCTGGGGAGCTTCCACAAGGCGTCCCCACACCGGGCTGGGACAGGGACGGGTGCCAGCGGAATGGCCACTGCTGGCAGGAAGCTGCCCGGGCTGTAGTGCTCCCCCAGTGTGGCACAGCTTTAAGGAAGTTTGCATTGCCAGGGCATGATGGGGTAGCTAACACTGCAGCATTCCCCCCACCGCTGGCCAAGCCGGCCAGTTGCCAGCTCCTCAGTTCTGCCGCAGTCCTGGGCCCTGCTTGAAGGCGGCTGGCACTGGTGCAATCCCCCAGGCTCAGCACTGCGCCCAGGAAGCTCTTGCTGCTGCAGTGCTGTAGCGGCTGCAGCTAGTGCTCGCTTGGCTGCCATCTCTTCCCATCACTGCCCCCCAGCGGGGGGTGGAGCTGGGACTGACATGATGTCGCACACCGCAATTCCCCTCCCTCCCCCTGGGAGGCAGCTCTGTGTGGCTGCTTGTGCCCGGCTAGACTGAACTAGCTTGATGGCAGATCCCTGCACTTAGTTCCCTGCCCCAGCACCTCAGATGAGTGCCCCTCCAGCACCAAGCCCTTCAGAGATGTCAGGAATCCGCTGCCCTGCCAGTCACAGCATCTCCCTGGGGTGCCCTTGGGAACAAAACCTCCCACTGGTGGCTGAGCCCTCCCCAGAGAAATACCTGAAGGAAAGACACAGCTGTGCTGTCCTGCAGCTTGGTGATGTAGCACAGCAAGGGCAGGCTGGGGAGGATTGCATGACATTAAAATAAGAGGGAATGGAGAGAGGCAGAGGAAGAATGAAGGGGGAGGGGAGAACAGGAGGAAGAAGTGAGGGGAGTTGAGTTAGTTTATTTGCCTCTCCGCTTGGTCCCTTTCCCCAAGGACTCAAGTGCTAGAGGGTGCCGGGGGCCCAGGGTGGGGAGTGTAAAGAAGCACAAGAAGGATGTTGGATGTGAGAGGGACACTTACCTTCCTAGGGCAGGTGTGAGCGACAGACTGAGAAAGTGCTGCTGGACGGAGGAAGAGGATGGAGCTGAGGAAGGATGCAGGACCTCAAGGGGAGATGATGTGTCCTCTAAGCCAACGGCAGCAGCAGCAGGATGGAGACGCCCCTGATAGGGCCGAGGCAGCAGCATGTGACCCGGAGCTGCGATGAGTCAGGATTTAGAAGAAGCTTTGCAAACAGCACGTAGAGAATGGAGAGAGAGCCAGAGACATAGAAGGAGAGGAAAGGAGCGGGGGGCCTGGATAATCAACTCCACTCACTCCAGGTTCATTAATATTTTTTATTCAAAGCAGAAAATATTGCAGGAGCTTCAGACTGCACAATTCAAACTGACAATTCAAACTAACTGCCCCCTCCTTTGTGGGCCTCTGAGGAGCAAAGCCAGCTGCACCGACTGCAACAGAATGGCATTTCCCTGGGCAGCACAAGTGCGTGTCTGATGCCAACCTCTCCCAGGAGACAGTGACTGTGGGGCAGAGGAAGGGTCTCTCAGAGCCAAATACATATATCCATAGAACACTGCACCTGCTCCCTAGCCCACCGACTCCTGCCCCACGAAGTCCTGACGGACTTTAGGGGCAGCTGGCAGGTCACTCTGTCATTTCCCCCAGGACAGATTCTTCCATTTCCTGAGGGAAAAGAAAAGGGAGAGGTTAACAAGGATAGGTCCAGACAGTGCTTTCTTCCCTTCTTGTGGAGAAGGGAGCGTTATAACTACTCTGTTTTCTCAGTGCTGACCCTTTCATTAGCTAACAGGTCCCATGTCTCAGGCCATTTTGTATGATCAAACATGATCCAGAGGAGCACTCACCTGGGATTTTAGGCTTTCACTGAGACTGAGAATGACTAGTCCTTCTCCTTTCCCAGTATCTTCCTCTCTCTTCCCCTGCTCTTACCTGTTCCTCATCTTGACGTCTCCGCCGTATGTCATCAGCCTCTGTCCGCTCATCTTCCTCATAGAAATCCTTGTCGAGACGCTCCAGACGGGGAAGCAGCACCAGAGCCTCCATCCGGTATCCCCCTTCATCAAAACAGGGATTGTCCATTAGCACCAGCGCCCGCAGCATGGGCAGCACCTGCAGCTTTGCCATCTCTTGAAGGTTCAGAACCACATTCCCCCTGCAGAGCAAGACAGGAAGACAGAAAAACCCTATTCACTGAGATCTCCCAGCCAAAACAATCACCTAACTGAACAGACATGACAGGAACCACTGAAAGGGACTCATCAGCAAGCAGTCAGTCCTGAGTACTTGGGACTGATAGCTGCGGGCTCCCCAAACTGAGAGAGACAAAAAGAAAACCTCTCTGGGTTTCCTTAGGTGTCTCCTCTGTGCACAGACAGCCCTTTGGATCAGCCACTGTCAGCGTCTCCCCTGTACAGCAAATACCTAGGAGGAAAGGGTGTCTGCAGTCATCAACAGGCTACGCAAAGGGCAGGGGGACCAAGGAAGGTCGTAGCAAAGGGTACACATTGCAGCAGGGGTTTCTGAGATGGATGTGGACGGGCCAATCACTCCCAGGACACAGTGGAAAAGAGTGCCATCCCAAAGTGGTTGAGGAATCAGAGCACAGGGGCCCACTACAGTAGCTAGGGCCTGGCCCAGAGAGACCAGTGGGCTGGGAAGACCAACCCTTCCCCACCTGCTGGTGAAAAATGGTGTTCCCAAAGCAGCCAGCTTAACATGCCTTGGGGAGAGCGGCCCCTTTGCCCGCAGAGAGTTGCCAGCACTCCAGAGTGGTACCTCATCAGGGAAGCACCCACCGCAGATTGAGGTACTGCAGGCACTTCATTCTCTTAGAGAAGCCATCCAGGGTCTCGATCCTGTTGTCACGTAGATGCAGGGTCGTGAGCTGCACCAGATCCTCCAGGCCCTCGAGCCGGGTAATGGAGTTTTGGGCCTGAGCACCAGTGAGCGAGAGAGGCAGTTGGAGTTGGAGAAGAAAGGAAGTTGGGGAAAGGGAAGAGAGAATCAGAATAATGTTATATTGGTAAGATTAATTTCACTTCCCACACACTCATCACCCCAATGCACTGTTCACTGGGGCGGGGCACCGCAACTGTAAGAACCCCACAACGGAGCTGTGCAATGATACAGGATAGGAGGGTCAGTGGTATCTTGTTTCCAATAAAAGCTGCAGGATAAACTGTAGGGATGGAGAATAAAATAATCTGATTTGGGATTTGTCTACAATGGTTAACACCCTTTGCCCAAACAAAGGGTAGGAATAAATGAGTCAATTTTCAGAATGGAGAGAGGTAGCTAGTGGTTACCAGATCAGATCTGGGACCAGTGTTTTCCACATCTTCATAAATGCTCTGGGAAAAGGGGTGTGGTGTAATTTGCAGATTATACAAAATTTAAGATCAAAGCTGTCTAGAAAAGTTGCAAAGGGATCTCACAAAACTGGGTGACAAAGCAACAAATCACTACCTCTATTTGCCTCTCTCCATTCTGAAAACTGACTCTCATTTATTCCTACCCTTTGTTTCCTGCCTTTTAACTAGTTGCCAATCCATGAGAGGACTTTCTCTGGTCCCATGACAGCTTACTTTGCTTAAGAGTCTTTGCTAAAGGCTTTCTCAAAGTCCAAGTACACTGTGTGCAGTGGATCACCCTTGTCCATATATTTGTTGGCCCCTCAAAGAATTCTAGTAGATTGGTGAGGCATGATTTGACTTTACAAAAGCTATGTTGACTCTTCCCCAACAAAGCATTCATCTACTGTCTATTCTTTACAATAATCTCCACCAATGTGTGAAATACTTCTACTGCTGGTCCACATAGAGAATGGCAATCTATACTGCTATCAGTTATCCTGTTACCTAAGTGGCAGAGGTCTGTGCAGTGAATCCAACTTTGCTAATGACACCCCACGCTAAAAGAACATTATTAAGGTTGCAATCAAAAGTTTTAAAATGCCAGAATTAAAACAACCTGTGCAAACTTAATTCAGCCCACTTATGTATACATATTGGCTGTGTCTACACTGGCAAGTTATTCCGGAAAATCAGCCGCTTTTCCGGAAAAACTTGCCAGCTGTCTACACTGGCCGCTTGAATTTCCGGAAAAGCACTGACGATCTAATGTAAAATCATCAGTGCTTTTCCGGAAAAACTATGCTGCTCCCGTTCGGGCAAAAATCTTTTCCCAGAAAACTGTTCCAGAAAAGGGCCAGTATAGACAGCACAGTAGTGTTTTCCGCAAAAAAGCCCCGATCGCAAAAATGACGATCGGGGCTTTTTTGCGGAAAAGAGCATCTAGATTGGCCACAGATGCTTTTCCGGAAAAAGTGCTTTTCCGGAAAAGCATCCTGCCAATCTAGACGCGCTTTTCCGAAAATGCTTTTAACGGAAAACTTTTCTGTTAAAAGCATTTCTGGAAAATCATGCCAGTGTAGACATAGCCATTATGATACAATTAACATGATCACAGTACACTTGCTTCAGTTCATGCACTGGATGGACAGTGCTCAGGGAGTAAATCAGAGCTGTGTAGGAAAGGATGCTGTTTTCTGAAGGACCTTTACCTTGTTTGTTACAGAAGTTAGAAGGCATGTAGTGAAGGAAACAGGGGGTTGTAGGAAGAGAAAGGAGGATCTGTTTCATGGTTAAAGCTGCCCTGGAGAATTGGGATTCTGCTGAAGTTGTGAGTGCTCATATCTGCAACTGAATCAGTGGAAGCTCTGCTTTGAGATTAGCGAGACACAAGTTTCATTTGCTGAATACATGCTGCTTATGATCAGCTTATGATCTACTAGGTATTTTATTAGCATCCTTTTTCATTATAATTGCACCCAATTTGCCAGACACAGAGATAAAGCTCACTGGGATGTAATTCCCTGCATCACCCCTTGAATATTTTAGGTACAGCATTTGCTACTGTCCGATCTTCTGGAGCAGTGTCTCATTTTAAAAATTGTATATCATTGCTAGTAACTCAACCACTTCATTCTTGAGCTCCTTTAGAACTCTTGGGTGTAACCATCTGGGCCCAAGGACTTACTGCTATTTAATGTATCAGTTTGTTGCAAAACCCAACTGACATTTCAATCATGGACGGGTCCTCAGACTGATCTCCCAAAAAGAATGGTGGGGTGGGGAGCTCTCCTCCACAACCTCTGCAGTGAAGAATGATATGAAGAATTAATGAAAGAATTAATTCAGCTTCTTTGCAATAGCCTTGTCTTCCTTGAGTGCTCTTTTAGCATCTTCATTGTCCAGAAGCCCCCACTGATTTGGGGCAAGGCTTCTAGTTTTTGTGTCTAACTTGTTGCACTTCAACTTATTTTTTTGGGCCATGCTCCTTTCTATTTTCCTCAGAGGGCTTTATTTTCAGTTTGTAAGGATGATTTTTTTCCTCTAACCACCTCTTATATTTTGCTGTTTAGCCAAGGTGGTTTTTTTGTTATTCTCTATTTTGTTATTTGTTATACATTTCGTTTGAGCCTCTATTATGGTGTTTTCATCTAATTTCCATGACATTTGCAATAGTTTCACCCTTGTGACAGTATCTTTTAGTATCTGTTTAACTGGCTTCTGCATTTTTGTATAGTTTCCCTTTTTGAAATTAAATGCTGCTGTGTAGCCTTCTTTGTCATTTTTCCCCTACAAGGATGTGAAACTTCATTATGTTATGGTCACTACTATGAAGTTGTTCAACTATATTCACCTCTCAGACCAGATCCTGTACTCCACTTAGAACTAAATCAAGAATTGCCTTCCCCTTTTCCAGGACTAGCTCCTCCCAATAAGCAGAAATTAATTATATCTAGAAATGTTACCTCTGCGTCCCATCCTGATATATGCTCAGTCAGTATAGGGATAGTTGAAAGTCCTTGGTCTGACTACATTTTCTGCGTTTGTAACATCTCTAATCTCTCTGAGTATTTCATAATCATCCTCATCCTTTTAGTCAGGTGATCAGTACTATATTTGTACGGCTGTATTCTTCTTATTAATCAAGCATGGATTTTCTCTTGAGATTTTATAATACAATTTGATTCATATAAAATTTTTACTTTATTTAGCTCTATGCTTGCTTTAACATCTAGTGCCACTTCCCCACCAGCACAACCTACTTTGTCACTCCTATGTATTTTGTACCCTGGTATTATTGTGTCCAAATGATTTTCTTCATACCATCACGTTTCTGTGATGCTATTATATCAATGTCCTCATTTATAACTGGCACTCTAGTTCACTATCTTAGTTCACGTTCATTCTGTCAATATTTAGTTGTTTGCCTTCTTTTGCATTTGACTATTCCTCACTAGCCCCTATCGGCTGTGTCTACACTGGGCCACTTATTCCAGAAAATCAGCCGCTTTTCCGGAATAAGCTGCGAGCTGTCTACACTGGCCCTTGAATTTCCGGAAAAGCAACAACGCTCTACTGTACAAAATCAGCTGCTATTCCGGAAAAGCTATGCTGCTCCCGCTCGGGCATAAGTCCTTATTCCAGAACACTGTTCCGGAAAAGGGCCAGTGTAGACAGCCCAGTAGTCTTTTTCCGGAAAAAAGCCCCGATTGCGAAAATGACGATTGGGGCTCTTTTCCGGAAAAGCGTGTCTACATTGGCCACAGATGCTTTTCCGGAAAAAGGGCTTTTACGGAAAAGCAGCCTGCCAATGTAGACGCTCTTTTTCCGGAAATACTTATAACGAAAACTATTCTGTTTTAAGCATTTCCGGAAATTCATGCCAGGGTAGACACAGCCATCTTGTTTACAAGGATATAGAATGCCCTTCTATAAACTCATTGGTAAAGGGTGTTTCCACCCAAACCATGTATTCTTCTAGCCCTGTCGACTTTCTCCCAGCCCTTAATTCACAAAATTCTCTCAACCTTTTTAATTGTACATGCCAGCAATCTGGTTCCTTTTTGTTTTAGGTAGAAACCATTCTTCCAGTATAGGCTCCTCCTTTCCTAAAAGGTTCCCCAGTTCATAATAAACTGTTTTCTTATGTAGCATCCTTGGCAAATCTATGGACTTTACTTCTTTTAACTTAGGATCCTTTTGACTAATCTGATTTTAATGAAATCGCCCTTTGTAAAGCTTAGGGTCAGTGTCACTTTTTGTTTTCCTATTTGCCCAGTGGATGTTGAATCTAATTATACTGTAGTCACTATCACTGAGTGGTTAGTATGTGTCACTGAGGCTAGGTCTAGACTACGGGGCTTTATCGGAAAAAGCTACCCAAATTGCAGAGTTGCACTCTGCAATTTGCATAGCTTTTTCCGATTGCTTTTGCGGAAGACACTTTTCTGTCATTTGGCCCAGTCTAGAGGGGCCCAAATGGCAGTAAAGCCTCCTCTTTTGGCAGATCCCTTAACTCTCAACAAGGCTAAGTTGAGACTAGCTTTTCCTTTTGGCTGCTTTAGCTCAAGCTGTTCCAAGATGCAGTCCTTTCAGATGCTGACAAGTTTCTTCTCTGACCTATCAGCCCGCATTTTCAAGGGAAACTTGCCCAACACTTTCAAAACTGGGGTTGGAATAAGCCTTGTCAGGGAGGAGGAAGATGGCACTATTTCCCTACCTGCCTCACACCACACAGCCTGCACCTATTAAGGATCAAGAGATGGGTGTGTGCAAGTCTGCTCACATATAAAGTCCCCCACCCCAGCCTAAGAGAGGACCTATTGGACCCAAAGCTCCAATAATTCTGGAGATGACAAAGGAAAAATAAAGGGATGGGAGTGCAGGTCATAGGGTCAAAAGCAGGGACCCAGAGGGAGTCACATCCCCTACACCAACTGAGAATCTAGATGTGAGTGGGCACAAGCTCACCCACATCTAAAGGTCCCTTTCCCCAACCTAAGGGAAGGAGCTGCCAGACCCAGATCTCAGGTAATAATGGGGGGACAATTAATGAAAAACAGGGCTGGGAGTAACAGGGTCAAAAGTGGGTTGCTAGAGAGAGAGTCACATGCCCTGTTTCTGCAGGAGCAGGTCCAGTTGGGAGAGCTCTGAGTGCCTGCAGTGCTTTATCGGCTGCTGTTGCTCAGCAGCTCCCCAGCAGACTGTCTGCTGCATCATAGAGAGAAGAAAGTAGCTCTAGCTGTTCTGTATTGCCTGCTGGGCTTTGGGAACCTCAGAGAGTGTAGCAGGATTGAAGCCTGATTTGCTTCACCAGAGCCTAGGAGAGCACTTGGCACAGGATGCTATTCTCCCCAGGGAAGCACAGGGAATGGGTTAAAAGGGACGAGCTGAGGTTTAATAGGTCATCAGTTCTTTGCAGGGAACTTGCAGGAGGTTTCTGCTCACTTTGCACTGACTGAGCATGATGGGAACACAATAGGTCCCAGCATCTCCCCCAAAGAATTGATTGTGTCCCCCTGACCTTTCGGAGCATGTAAATCTCTCAGTCTAACAAGGCTGCACAGTGCTGGCCTACCACCACACTCACACATGGACAACCCAACAGAATCTCCACACCACTCACTGCAGCATAGTGCCCTGGTGAGGAGCTTTTACCAGGTAAAGATTCTTGAGCTTTGGCAGGTGCAGCCCTGCTGTGGTCTCTAGCCTGTTTCCTCGCAACTCCAGCGTGTGCAGGTCTGTCAGTTTCCCTGGATCCAGACCTGATATCACTTGGATTTCATTCCCTGAGTGACAGGAGAAACAAAAGGGTTAATTCCTCCAGTGTCCCATTTCCAGCACACAGTAAGGAACACTTTGTGGTGAGGGCTGGTACACACCCACCTTTAAGGCTGAGGCTGCCCAGACGTGGGTGGGTAATGCCCTCTGTGTCCTTGATACGATTGTGAGCAAAACTGGCAATCTGCAGGTAGGGCAGCTCTGGCAGGCAGGGACTGGTCAGCCGATTCCCATCCACCTTCAGCCACAGCAGGTGGATGAGGCTGCCCAGAGGAGACAGATCTCGCAGCAGGTTCTCTGACAAATCCACATAACGTAAGTGAATGTAGTTCTGGAGAAGGCTGATATCTGTCAGATCCCTGCCATAGGATGAGGATGTAAGACAAACATCCAATTTTCTTCCTCCTTTCTCTTTTCTCCGAGAGCTGGTCTCCACTCCTCTGCAGCTTACCTATATCTGATCTTGAGACGTTTCTCTGGGTATGATGGAGGAGGGAGAAGGCAGACTGTGGAGTGAGCCAAGGGGTTTGAAACAAAGCCCCGAGGGACCCCTACTTGGAGTCCCTTCCCAGCTGAAAAAGGAGCTGTCAAGAGGGGGCAGAAACTAAGGGGAGGAAACCATAGAAGCTATGAAGAAATAAGTCCATCAAATAGTGGTCCTAGCATTGAGGGCTGGGTGGGGGAAAGAGAGAGACTGGGAAGGACCAGGCTGCAGTGCCAGGAGGTTGGAATACACAATTAGTGACAGGGCTGGTCCTGGAGGCAGGCAAGCAGGGCAGTGCCCTGGGTGCCAACTTCCACAAACCCCCTGAGTGTCTGCCAACGTGGGATTAAGTTCACAGGGATATGAGTTCCAAAAACTTCCAAGAGTGTTTTCCCCATGACATATATGGGTCCATGGTTAGCAGCAACTGGTGGGTGAGGAAGGGAGACACTTGAGTTGGCTGCTGATTTTGGGGTGGTGACAGTCACTTGAATAGCCCCAAGAGTCAACGCAAAGAGCATAGCTCTGGGGGTGGGGGGTGCTGTCAGCCTCCCTACTACACATCAGGAAAGAGCTGCTGAGAGCGTTTCGTGGAGCATCCAACTAACTATCCACCTGTCCTGTCTACCCAGTCACCATGCCCATCTGGATATAATACTGGTGTTCTCAATAATGTATCTGAGCATCAGCCTCACTCTACTAGTCAGAGCTGGCTAACTGTGGGAAGGTCTCCACCATCATGTCCTATCAGCTGCAATCTGGGAGCCCAACCAGACAGACAGGGCCACAGAAATGCTTTAATGACCCAACAAGCTGATCTCCAGTTGGCCAGTCATTTCCTGATGCCAAATTTGACTTGGAAGAGCAGCAAGAGGCCTATGTGGATATTGGTGGGGGGGGGGGGGGGGGAAGCAAACACAGGGAGGAAGGAGGGCCACTAACAAAGTGACAGTCCCAAAGCCCATTTCCCTTTGGATCATCCCAGAATACAGTCAGAGGTAATCCAAGGTATGATCTGTGCAGGATATTGAGTGGGATGCCCCACTAATCATGATAGCCCAAACAGAAATAAGCCCTCGCTAGTGGGTACTGCAATCCATTCCTCCATTAATCATTATTCCAGAATTTCTCCCCTGGCTGCCCCACATCTTCCTAAAAAGGGTGCTTCAGGAAAGGTGTTGGCTTCTGTCCTGCTGCCAGTGGTTGGGGAGGAGGATTTGACTGTGAATGTTTCCACACTCACTTTTCCTTTGCCTCTAGTTTCACATAGGCATGAGCCAAGCCGTTGCCTGTTTTACACAAGAGGGAGAGGCCTTCCTTCATTATCTCCTCTGTCAGAAGGCGGGGAGTCAAGCTCTGAGAGAGGATGAGCAAAGGAAAGAGACAGAAACAAACAGTCAGTAGAGAAAACATCACAGAAAATAAGGCAGGGTCAGACTCTCAGCTCACCCCTAACATCCATGACCCCCTACACATTCCCTCCCTTCATGCTCAGGCTCCTTTCCAGGTCAGCCTTCCTTACCTCCTCCTCCTCCTCTGTTGGCTCCTTCTCTTCCTCCCCCTCCTCCCCCTCCTTTTCCGGTTCGTTGGCATTGTAGTCGTCCTCAAACTCCTCATTCGACATCTTCCCGGACTAGAAAAAGCCCTGCTAGGAGAGAACGTAATTCTGGCCAGAGAGGCCGGACAGTCCCAGTGTGTCAGCAGCGAGGAGATCCCTGCCCTCCCGCCGCACCTCTGGCTGCAGTGCGGCCTGCGCCGACGGCCCCTTGGCGGAGCTCAGTGTCTGCACGCTGAGGCACAGCCCTGTCCGGCTGAGGACCCAGCACCTGGCTGCACGCAGAGGCCTGGGAGACCTCTGCCAGCGGGGGCCAGAGGGGCTCGGTGCCTAGGGGAGAAGCCCCGTGTCCCATTCGCCACCCAGTGCCAGCAAGGGCCCAGCGCCTGGGCCTGGGCTGGCACCAGGGCCCCAAACCTGCCCCCCAATCTCCACGGGGGGGGGGGACTGACCCCAGCTCTGAGCTGCTCCAGGAGCCTGCAGCCTGAAGGGGGGGTTGTTTACTGCTGCTATGGAAACCCCGAAGATGAATGGGTGGGAACTGTTGCTAGGTTCTGCTGCCATGGCAACACTTGGTGACTGACAAGTCCCAGTAGGCAGAGTTCTTAGGAAACTGGCAGGAGCCAGACTGGGGAGAGACTCGGAAGCTTGTTTGCAGCCGCTTGATAGGAGCAGGCGGTGCGTGATTTGCATGAAAGGAGGGGTCCTTTGAGAACGCGCCGCGGAGGGGAGGGGCCAATGGGCGCTATTATGACATCATTGCGCTGCAAAGGCAGCGCGGCAGGCGGTCACTGTTCGGCGCAGGCGCATGGGCTGTTCTGCGGGTGAGAGGCGCGGAGTGGGTGTGGCTGCGCCCGTAGGCCCCTGCAGTGACGTTGTCGGTGCCTGTCAGTTACGCTTTGCCCTGGCGCCCGGGCCATGTGGAACCGCGCGTGCTGGCACTAGCGGTGCAGCTGCAGCCCTGCGTGAGGCGCTTCCACCCTGCACCGTCTCTGCAGCTGGGTTCAGTGGCTCTCTGCTCCCACCACCGTACAGATTGTGCCAGCGCCGCTGTTTTGAACCCACACTGAGAAACGGTCAGGTTCAGCCTTGCTGGGTGTCAGTGGCTGGCCTCCCCACATTCGAGGTGCTGGTCCCACGATTGCTAATGTACACTTGTATGTCACGGCCTAACATTCCTCTTACAGAAGCTGTGACTCTCCCATTCTGCCCATTGAGATCAGGCTGATTCAATGTGCCTCTAAACCCCTAGCTCATGTCACCTAAGAATTGCACCGTGACCAGAGAGCAAGGCTACGTCTACACTACAGGCTTCTTGTGCAAGAACTGTTTTGCGAAAGAGTTCTTGGGTGAAAGATCTTCCACAAGAGCAAATCCACAGTGCCATGTGCTTTTGTGCAAGAGTGTCCATGGCAGTGTGGACGTTCTCTTGCACAAGAAAGCTCTGATGCCATTTTAGCCATCAGGGCTTCTTGTGCAAGAAATGTTTGTTGCCTGTCTACACTGCCCTCTTTTGGAAGAGCTTTTGCACAAGAGGGCTTATTCCTCCTCAGGAGAGGAATAACTTTTCCGGAAGAAGCCCTGTTTTCCGCCGCTATACTGTAAATTTACTTGCGCAAGAACACGTGTGCAATGTAGACAGCTGGCAAGTTTTTGCACAAGAACAGCTGTTCTTGCACAAGAAGCATGCAATGTAGACACATCCCATGTGTGAAACATCGGGACAGGGAATAGGGGGGTAAGAGGTGCCTAGATAAGCCAAGCACTCAAATATTGGGACTGTCCTTGTAAAATCAGAACCTCTGGTCACCCCTAACATATACCCAGTTTGCTCCTGCTACCACTTTGCACAGGATCACTTGACTTTGCTGGTCAACAAGATCTGCCACATTCCCCTTCTCTTTGCCCCACAGTTTCTTTGTTCCACTGTTCCAGACTCATGGTTCCTTGAGGGCTCTCCCCATTTAAGTTCTCTGCCTGTTTAATTTGCCCAGTCCTAAGCTCACTTCCTTTGCCTCCATTATCATGGTCCCCTCCCTCCTTAATTTCTCTTTTCTGGTACCTCCTCTCTTAATGCAAGCCTGCTCCTCTTCCCCAATCTCAAACAGCCACCCCTTCCTACTCTTCTGCTACACTAGTTACTGTCCCTAACTTTGTCTTTCCTCTTTTCCCACCAACCTCACTGATCCCAGGCTGTCTCCCTGACTTTGTGTCCTATGGGGGAAATGGATTAGATGATATTTAATGGAGCTTCTCCATCTCTTGGGCAAACTCCTGGAGCATCCATAGGGAACAAACCTGCCTGGAGTCACTTCTCTCTGACTTTGCCAGACTGGCTCTATACCAGGAATTGAAGGGACTCATCTCACTAATTCTCCAATTACCCACAGTCATTATTCTCATGTCATCAGGGGATTTCTACATAGGGCATTCCAGACCCTTTGTAATCTATCGCATGCTTTGCCTCATCCCCTCTAACTCCTGCAGAAAATCCTGGAAATGCCTTATTAGACATGCTCTTGCATTACATTTCTATTGGTAAAAATAATCTGGAAAACTGGTTCTGGACAAAAAAAGGGGGGTTGCTTTTTCTTCCTCACCACTTCCCCTTTTTCACTGATGGGGGTTTTGTTTGTGTTTTGTGGGTATTGGGTTTTGTTTGAGTTTAATTTTTTTCCAGCCTGACTTTCACAATAGTAATTCAGGTCTTGTCTACTTGGTTCTTCCTGGAAGACTCTATGAAGGACTGGAGAATGTGAATTCTTATGAGTTTGGATTAAGAGGAGAAAGGTCTTTCCTTGTATATCATCTAACAATATAAAATGTCTACCAAATTGTTTAAAGAAAACCTCTTTTTGTTAAAAACCCAACACCACTCCATGACCTGTGCAGAGAACTTCCATTCCATGTATCTGTGGCCTCTATGGCACTGGTTGGCAAAAAGTAAGGAAGATGAGATTTGCCATTCCCGATAGTTCTCCAGTTAAGAAATAAGCAGAGTCCCACCCACTCAAAAAAGTCCTTTCAGGACTCTCTGTTCTCCATAAAGAAGCAAATGATTGGCACAAATTCCATGTACTTTTTCCCTTATCATCTTGAACCTTCATGGGCTTTTGCTCAACTCTTCGTCTGGCAGTGCTGAGCAAAAGAGAAGGAGCAGGAGACCAACAGATCAGAGTCTTATCTTGCTCTGATCCCTGCCCGAGATGCACCTTGTTCTAAGAGTGGCAAAGAAATCAAAAGGTCATGGCAATACACAACTCCTCTTGAGCAGTGTTTCTTAAACTTTTTAAAACCGAGGAAGATGATCTTCCAATTTTTTTATGAGGAACACCAAGGATTTTTTTTGTTGAGCAAAAAGAAAAGAAAAAGGGTGTGTGTGGGGGGGTGGGGAAGGGGAGTAACTGAGAAAAAAAAGCTCCTGCCTCTTTAAGGGTGGCCATTTTGAACTCTGTTGTTCTCCAAGGCACACTGGTGTTCCCCAGAATACAGTTTAAGAAACACTGCTCTTGAGTATTCCAGGATCTCTTCTCTCACTGTTTACATAGCCCCCACTGCCTCATCCCTACCAGGGAACAGTCCCCCAGTCTTGTCAGAGATGGGCATTATTCTGCTTTCTTCTCATGGAAAATCTGTAGATCTTGCAGTTTATGATTTTTCCTTGAAATACCCAAACCCTGAACACACATCACAACCATATTTCCCAGGGAAGGTGGTTTTTGCCACACTGAATTTTAGCTCCCCCCTTCATGTGATAATGCTTGTGATTTCTTTCATTATGAAATTGTAGCTAAATCATTTAAATTTGGGACCACAAACCCTACTTTGTGTTAATCATATTTGCTGTTTGGTATCACAAGGCAGACCTGTGTATTTTAGTGATAGCATCTCATAGTTTCTTAATATATTTAGCTTGAAGATTAACCTGACCTTTGAATTTCCTTGTTTGCAATGCCTGATTTGGGGATAATTACACCATCTCTTAAACATAATTTACCCTAAATTACTCGTCTATGCTTTCAGCCATAACTCCATTTCAACTTAGATTTTTCCTGCAGTTCTTTATTGGAGTTGTCATTTTTCTCTCCAGAAAGACTGTTAATTGGCTTGGCAGCTAGAGGAATAAAACTTCTTCAGCATTTCGCCCCCCTTTACCCCCCCAGTTTCTCTCTTGGCCCAGCTGTGGTGTGCAGAGATAAAGGGCCCACACCTGCAAGCTACCAAATGCCATCAGTTCCCATTAAAGACAGTGGGAGTCGAAGATACCCAGTGTCCCTGGGATGCATTTCCGAAGAGTTCTGCAAGCAAAGCCATTTCCTTTGTAGGAGTCAAGCAAGCAAAGTGCAAAGGGAAGGCCCGGCCAGCTGGGCGAAGCTGACTGTCTAATGCAGTGTTGTTCCCTGTGAAACCTGGAGCCTTGTTGCTTCTGGAATTGTGTGTTTTGATTGATCTGGAGCGTTACACCGAAATTCATGTTCAGGCCCTGAGCAGCCATGTGGAAAGGCAAGGGCACAATGCTCCTAGGTAGACATCACAAACAGGGCTCAGGTACTGCCTCAGTGTTGGTTCATGCTGGAGGGGAAGCTGAAGAGCTGAATGCCGGGAGGCCAACACTGGATCACCAGAGGGTATGAGTCAGATGCTCCATGCTTTGTGGCAGAGGGGGATGGGTGTTGAATATATGAAATGTGCTTGCATTTCTACTTATTGGTCAGCTGAGGGCGCTCTAAGTCAGGCAGTCAGCAGCCAGGTTAGGTCAAGCCTGGCGAGCCTAGAAAATGGGGAGAGAATATAAAGATGCAGCCTGTGGATGTCCAGCATTCCCAGCCCCACTGAGAGGGCTGGAGTACAGGACCTGTGTCTCCCACCTGGCACCACAGGGCCCTAACCCCCTATTAGTGGGAGATCCAGTTTCTTAGGGAGTAAGGGACCAGAACAGGGAATGGAACCTGGATGCCCTTCACAACAGGACAATGACAGCCTCAGGGCTGGGCCAAACCACGGTAGCACTCCCCACCCGCCAGGCAAGAGCCTGGGACAAGGAATGGAACCAGGATTTCTTGAGTTCTGGGCATAAATGCCCCCTTGTCCAGTGGGGCAGCAGTGGAGGGAAGCTCATGGACGTGTGTCAAACCCTTGAAGAGATAAGTAGATACCCTTTGTGGAAACGCAGGTGGCGGCAAGAGGAGTCAGAAGAGGGTGAAGGAGCATGCAGAAGTTTCACATCTGTCTTCACTCACAGAACTGACTCCTATTCCAAGATGGGGCTTCCTTCCAGCTCTGCTAAAGCTCCCAGCCCAACCCTGCAGCGGCAGATGCAGCTAGTGACTCCTCTTAACATAATGGTGCCTTGCAAATTCAGAGACAAGTTCATTCCATGGGCCTTTTATGAGGGCTTACGTACACTACAGGTTATGCTGTATAACTTACTAACAGATTTACCTGGCATTGCTCAGGTCTTTAATTCAAGTAAGGGTTTTTGTATTTTGAAAAGTATAAGGAAAATGTACATGCTTTATTTAAATGATTGTATTTTTCCAAAGTACAGTGTTATTTTTAAGGTTAATTTTTATTTCAGATTTCTTTAAACTATTAAAAAAAATTAGTAATTTTTTTAAAATGGGAATTTCATTGAGTGTATTTTTTTCCTTTATCCCTATAAACTCTTACCATTTGCTATGTTTTAGCAAAAAAGGGCTATAATCAATTTGGTTTCCAGTAACACTGTCTTCTAGTTTTCAAACCTTAAACTTTGATTTAGCTGTGCCAAAACAGCATCACTCTAAGGCTGTGTCTAGACTGCAGGATTTTTTTTTTTTAAAAAGTAGCCTTTTTTCGAAAAAACTTTACCTGCATCTCGACTACAGCCACATTCTTTCAAAATTAAATCGAAAGAATGCGGCTTTTCTTTCGACGGCGGTAAACCTAATTTCACGAGGAATAACGCCTTTTTTCGAAAGTGCTCTTTCCAGACTGCCTGGGTGCTCTCTTTCAAAAAAGCAGCTTGCTTTTTCAAAAGTACTGGTTGCAGTCTAGACGCTCTTTTTTGAAAGAGGCTTTTTCGAAAGTATCTTTTGAAAAAGCCTCTTTCAAAAGAGGCTTGCAGTCTAGACGTAGCCTAAATGTCTGTTTTATCTCTTTTCTGTAAGATTTTTTTGAGAAGCAGTCCTATTCCAGGTTCATCCTATTTTTCTGGCTTGGTTCAGTCTCTTTCAACATTTGCTCACTTATGTCAATTTTGAGGACTGTACTTAATTTAGTGATTCTCTCTCTTTTCTGTTTGGTTTTATGAGAAGCAATCCCATTCCAGGCAATCCTGTTTTCTGGCACAATCAAACCTTTAGGTTGTGCATTCTTGTGCAGAACATATGCAAATGAGGCACAATGATGAATATTGCTGTACCTCATTTGCATACTTAATGAACCATCATTTTTGCACAAAGGGCTTTTGTGCAAGAGCAGTTCTGCCACTTATTTTCAGGCAGAACGGCTCTTAAGAGGGGTTTTTTGTGCAAGAAGGAGCAGCCTATACCGCTCTCTTGCGCAAAAATGATGGCTCATTAAATATGCAAATGAGGCATGGCAATATTCATTGCTGTGCTTCATTTGCATATGTTCTTGTGCAAGAACGTGCAATGTAGATGTAGCCTGACAGTACTTTAAGTTATGGTACTAGTGAGGAGGGCTTTAAACTAGGTTCGTCGGGGGACGGTGACCAAAACCCTGAGGGGAGTGGGAAAGTCAGATACCGGGAAGAAATGCATAGAGCAAGGAGCGAGAAAGGAGGACCCCAGTTTCGAATGGAGAAGATAATGCAATCAACTGGTTACCTGAAGTGTTTGTACACTAATGCGAGAAGCCTGGGCAACAAGCAGGAAGAACTGGAGGCCCTGGCCCAGGCCAAGAAATATGATTTAATTGGGATAACAGAGACTTGGTGGGATGACTCGCATGACTGGAGCGCTGTCATGGAAGGGTATAGATTGTTCAGGAAGAATAGGCAGGGGAGAAAAGGAGGAGGAGTTGCACTATATGTAAGAGAGCACTATGATTGCTCTGAACTCCAGTATAAAGAGGGAGAAAAACTTGTTGAAAGTCTATGGGTCAGGTTTAAAGGAGCAAACAGCAGTGATGTTGTGGTTGGTATCTGCTACAGGCCACCGAACCAGGTGGATGAGGTAGATGAGGCTTTCTTCGAACAACTGAGCGAAGCTTCCAGATCGCAGGCCCTGGTTCTCATGGGGGACTTTAATCACCCTGACATCTGTTGGGAAACCAATACGGCAGTACACAGGCAATCCAGGAAGTTTTTGGAGAATGTTGGGGATAACTTCTTGGTACAAGTGCTGAAGGATCCGACCAGGGGCCGTGCACAGCTTGACCTTCTCCTCACAAACAGGGAGGAACTAATAGGGGACGTAGAGGTGGGTGACAACCTGGGAAGCAGTGATCATGAGATGGTAGATTTCAGGATCCTGACCAAAGGAAGGAAAGAGAGTAGTAAAATACACACCTTGGACTTCAAAAAAGCAGATTTTGACTCCCTCAGAGATCTGATGGAAAGAATCCCCTGGGATGTTAACATGAAGGGGAAAGGAGTCCAGGACAGCTGGCAGTATTTTAAAGAAGCCTTACTGAAGGCACAAAAAGAAACCATCCCGACACGTAGCAAGAGAGGCAAACCTGGTAGGAGACCGGATTGGCTTACAGGGGAAATCCTTGGTGTACTTAAGCACAAAAAGGAAGCTTACAGAAAGTGGAAACTTGGACAAATGACTAGGGAGGAGCTTAAATGTATAGTTCGAGAATGCCGGGGGGTTATCAGGAAGGCGAAAGCGCAAATGGAGTTGCGACTGGCTAAGGATGTGAAGGATAACAAGAAAGGTTTCTACAGGCATGTCAACAAGAAGAAGGTGATCAGAGAGGGTGTGCAGTCCCTAATGGATGAAGGAGGTAACCTAGTGACAGAGGATGTGGGGAAAGCTGAAGTACTCAATGCTTTCTTTGCCTCTGTATTCACGGACAAGGTCGGCTCCTGGACTTCTGTGCTAAGCGACGCAAGATGGGAAGAAGATGGACAGCCCTTGGTGGGTAAAGAACAGGTTAGGAACTATTTAGAAAAACTAAACGTACACAAATCCATGGGTCCAGACTTAATGCACCCAAGGGTACTGAAGGAGTTGGCAAATGTCATTGAGGAGCCTTTGGCCATTATCTTTGAAAAGTCGTGGAGATCGGGCGAAATCCCGGATGATTGGAAAAAGGCAAATGTAGTGCCCATCTTCAAAAAAGGGAAGAAGGACGATCCAGGGAACTATAGGCCGGTCAGTCTTACCTCGGTTCCTGGAAAAATCATGGAAGGGATCCTAAAGGAATCCATTTTGAGACACTTGAATGAGAGGAAAGTGATCAGGAATAGTCAGCATGGATTCACAAAGGGCAAGTCGTGCTTGACCAATCTGATTAGCTTCTATGATGAGGTAACTGGCTCAGTGGACATGGGAAAGTCAGTGGATGTTATATACCTTGACTTTAGCAAGGCTTTTGATACGGTCTCCCACAATATTCTTGCCAGCAAGTTAAGGGAATGCGGATTGGATAAATGGACGGTAAGATGGATAGAAAGATGGCTAGAAGGCCGGGCCCAGCGGGTAGTGATCAACGGTTCGATGTCAGGATGGAGGTCGGTTTCTAGTGGAGTGCCCCAAGGTTCGGTTCTAGGACCGGTTTTGTTCAATATCTTTATTAATGACCTGGATGAGGGGATAGATTGCACCCTCAGCAAGTTTGCAGATGACACTAAGCTAGGGGGAGAGGTAGATACGCTTAAGGGCAGAGATAGGGTCCAGAGTGACTTAGACAAATTGGAGGATTGGGCCACTAGAAATCTCATGAGATTCAACAAAGACAAGTGTAGAGTCCTGCACTTGGGACGGAAGAATCCCAAGCATAGTTACAGGCTGGGGACCAACCAGTTAAGTAGTAGTTCTGCAGAAAAGGACCTGGGGGTTACAGTGGATGAGAAGCTAGATATGAGTCAACAGTGTGCCCTTGTAGCCAAGAAGGCTAATGGCATATTAGGATGCATTAAGAGGAGCATTGCCAGCAGATCCAGAGATGTCATTATTCCCCTTTATTCGGCTTTGGTGAGGCCACATCTGGAGTACTGTGTCCAGTTCTGGGCCCCCCACTACAAAAAGGATGCGGACGCATTGGAGAGGGTCCAGCGGAGGGCAACCAAAATGATTAGGGGTCTGGAGCATATGACCTACGAGGAGAGGCTGAGGGACTTGGGTCTGTTTAGTCTGCAGAAGCGAAGAGTGAGGGGGGACTTGATAGCAGCCTTCAACTTCCTGAATTTGCTGTTTAGGAGTTCTTGATCAGACAAACTTTCTACATACTAGATGTCACTTGGATGTGAAGTAAACTATAGTGACCTAAGTGCTAGTGAGGACAGCCTGTGCTGGTGGGAGAGCTTTTCCAGCTGACATAAAACCATATCCACAAGAGATGGTAGCTATTATGCTATGGGGAGTTCTCTCCCTTGGCAAAGAGCATCTTCACCAGACTTGGTGCAGCTGTGCCACTGTAGATTAGCCCTGAGGAAAAAGCTGGAATGCTAATGAACAACACGTTCCTCTCCACTTCTTTGGTTCTAGATCCTGCTCCAACTGAGAGTATGGTCTCTGCTCGTGAGAGAACTGGTTGCATCACAAGCAGTGAGGGAAGGATGTAGAAAGGGGATGAAGCAGTTGGCCCCTAACTAAAGCCTCAGACACAGGACAGAGCTAGGGGACCACATGAGGACTCCTGCTGTGCTCTACAGCACCTCTCATTGAGGGAATTGGGAGCGCCCCTGAAGGCATGCTGCCTGTTTCTCTCTCCAGAGCCTGAGTAACATGGCCCATGATTCTTTGCTGTCTGAGCACAGAGCAAGTCCTTTCTGCCCATCAGGGCATGGGAGCTGAAGCCAGGTAAGAGGGCATACCAATTTTCTGGGGTTTCCCTGGACTCTTCCTCACCTCCACCTTACATAGCACCACTCAGCTGAAGGGAAGTGGGCCAGCAGGACCTAAACGTTGGGGAAGGAAAGAGAAAGCCAATGTGTGGCTCAGGCTCCAGTGCAGGCAGAGTTGGATCAGATGGTAATTGGTGGGGTAATCCCTCCATTTTCCCTGGGACCAGAAGAATTAAGTCTCCCACAGATAACTGGGGTATAGGGCAAACACAACTGGAAGCCAACAGTGGCTGTAAACAGTACAGCAAACAAAAAGCTTGTAGTCCAGACCACGAAGGGGGTACAGGACACACAAGCCACCGTAAGGCACTACATGCTTGGGAGAACTGACAGGCCCAGGTGCTGTGAAGACTCACCCTGATAAAGGTGGCCATAGAATATGCTCCCCTGCAGTATAATTCCTATGTAGCCCTGCTGGGCAGCAATGGAGACTCATGGGGCTGAGGCACTAGCAAGTTTTATCCTGGAGTCAAGGGGGCAGCTACCCTCATTACCTCGCCAAAGGGCCAGGCAGAGGTGGAATACTGTCTAGGGAGGTGGGTACACTGAGATCTAGCATGGCCAAGACCCATCTACAAGCACTTTCAGGGGTTGAAAGGCAGCTCTGAGTGCTGTGTGGGGGCAGGGCTAGGCCAGCACGATACCCCTGCAGAGGGAAAGGGCATTTAGGTAGGGGAATAGTGAGGAAAGACCCTGTGATTGGGAAAGGAAGAAAATCTCTATGGGGTGGAGAGCAGTAGCTCTAAGTGAGGGGATCTTCAAATGAGATGGAGACTGAAACCAAATCTGACCCCTTCTCCCCCTAGACCAGAGGTGTCCAACCTGTTCTGAAGCAGTAGCCACACTCAACTGGCCAAATAGCCACATGTGGCTAGAGTGTTGGACACCGCAGTCCTAGCAGCTGCAGCTCCACCCTCAACTGCCTCCCTCCTGCCTAGGGAGCAGCACCTGCTGCACCAGTGAGCTGTCCAGGGCGGTGCAGGCTGTACCCATGTACAATGTAAGGACTTCCCAAAAGGCAGTTACCCAAGGCTGGTGCCTTTTCCTGCTAGTTCCACCATCATCCCCTCCCCACCATGTTCTCAGTTTGATGAGGGTACTCCTTCCTCTGGGCAACCCCCCAGCAGTCTCATTTCTCATGGGGTGGGGAGGAGAAAGGGTATACAGTGGAGGTGGCAAGAATGAGTGGCTGCCACCGTACTCACTGACA